CCATTCAGGACATAGGCATAGGCAAGGACTTCATGACTAAAACACCAAAAGCATTGGCAGCAAAAGCCAAAATAGACAAATGAAATTTAAAGAAACTTCAGAGCTTCTGTACAGCCAAAGAAACAATCATTAGAGTGAACCAGCAACCAACAGAATGGGAAAAAATTTTTGTAGTCTAACCATTTGACAAAGGGTTAATATCCAGAATCTACAAATAACTAAAATAGATTTACAGGAAACAAACAAACAAACCCATCCAAAAGTGGGCGAATGATATAAGCAGACACTTTTCAAAAGAAGACATATATGAAGCCAACAAACATATGAAAAAATGCTCATCATCACTAGTCATTAGAGAAATGCAAATCAAAACCACACTGAGATACCATCTCATGCCAGTTAGCACAGTGATCATTAAAAAATCTGGAGACGACAGGTGCTGGAGAGGATGTGGAGAAATAGGAACACTTTTACACTGTTGGTGGGAGTGTAAATTAGTTCAACCATTGTGGAAGACAGTGTGGTAATTTGTCAAGGATCTAGAAATAGAAAATCCATTTGACTCAGCAATCCCATTACTGGGTATATATCCAAAGGACTATACATTGTTTTATCATAAGGACACATGCACGCATATGTTCATCGCTGCACTGTTTACAATAGCAAAGACCTGGAACCAACCCAAATGCCCATCAATGATAGACTGGACAAAGAAAATGTGGCACATATATACCATGGAATACTATAGAGCCATAAAAAAGGATGAGTTTGTGTCCTTTGTTGGGACATGGATGAATGTGGAAACCATCGTTCTCAGCAAACTGACAAAAGAACAGAAAATCAAATGCTGCATGTTCTCACTCATTGGCGGGTGTTGAACAATGAGAACACGTGGACAAAGGGAGGGAAGTATCACGCACTGGGGTCTGTTAGGGGGTACTGGGGAAAGACAGCGGGGAGTGGTGAGGATGTGGAGGGATAATGTGGGTAGAAATCCCAGGTGATGGGGGGATGGAGGCAGCAAATCACCTTTCCATGTATATACCTATGCAACAATTCTGCATGATCTGCATATGTACACCAGAACTTAAAGTACAATAATAATAATAATAAAAATCAATGAGTGAAGAGAGGTATCTTTCCCTTTGGTTTTATGTAAAACAAAGGATATATACTTACATGTCTATAATGATTACTATTATTTGCTGAATTGTAATACTTTGTCAATCTCCATTAAAAAAAAATTTAAGATCATTTACTCTACAGCTAGATGATCAGAGTTTAAATCCAGCTCTGTTACTTAGGAGTTTTGAGACTTTACATGTGCCTTGTGCTGAAATCTACTAATGGAGTAAAAACAATTTTTGTTTGATTTAAATTAGTAAATGAAAAAAATTTGTGAAGTAAATATTATGGATGGTCAAATAAGTCAATCAAAGTAGAACACACAGAATTAGACCTGGGACATAATCATATATGAAGGCTAGTTTTTGTTGCTGTTGTTGTTGTTGTTTTGGCTCCAATTCCCAGGCTTGAGTGCCATAGTGCTGTCTCTGCTCACTGCAACCTCCTCCTCCTAGGGTCAAGCAATTCCTCTACCTTATTCTCCAGAGCAGCAGGGATTACAGGCACACACCACCACACCTGGCTAATTTTTGTATTTTTAGAGACATGGTTTCACCATGTTGGCCAGGCTGGTCTCGAACACCTGATTTCAAGTGATCTGCCCCCTCAGCCCTGCCACATGTGGGGATTACAGGCCCGAGTCTGTACGCCTAGCCCAAGGCTTTTGCTCTGCATCCTACAAAGATTCTGTAAAAAGCTGAGGCTCTCAGAGTTTGACTGCATTACATATGCTCTTCTAAATCTCTTAAGGATGGCAAATCAGGAATTTTCACTGTCGCATAACTCCAAATAGCAATGTTCTTTCTACTACACATCACTGCTTCCTTGGAATAATTTAGAATAAATCTCAGCATTATTTTATCATCATGATTTAAAATTTTTTCTTGTTCTGCTGTGATTTGTGAGCATATGTTTCAATTTCCTCATCTATTTTAAAAGTATAATTATACATGGAAAGTATGTGCATTACAATTTACACAAAGATATATTTATATTTGCACTTTTAAAGTAATCATAACTTAAGACCTATTCAAATTCTGGAAATGCAGAATTGTTTATAAAAACATTTTTTTAAGGAAATCTGGGTTTTTAGAAAAGTTTAATTTAACACACTTAATTTTTTAAAATATTACTTTGGATCATTTGCATACTGAGGAGATAAGTAGATACGTCCATCATTGAGATTCAAGTACAATTTACTCCATTAAGTATTCATAACCGTGCCACAAATCACTGTGCCTCTCTGGATGAAGGCCAATCGCTTCTTCTCAGTTTCTACCTCTGAATAATGGGGATAATAACAGGATGGTACCTATATCATATAGTTTTGTTTGTTAGTTTTGCCTTAGAATGGTAACGCTTCTGTTGACACTTGTGAAGTGCTTTTAAAAATTTGTGATGTAATTATTTTATAAACACTAGCTATTGTTTTATCCACAATATATAGCAGCTAGTTGTAACAGAAAAAAATTAAGTTAATAAAATTGTCTATTAAATACTTTATATATGTTCTGACAGTCTTGCATATGACAGGAAATTAATAAGCCTTAGAAATGCCTAAAAATAATTTTCTAATATATTTGAACAAGTTAAGGTGACTGAGTTAGACACTCAGTTGCAGTTAAATTAACAGATGAAAAAAAAAATGTGCCAAGAGGAGACATTTTGTGACCAATGGTCAATATTATATGTGCTTGATAACTTTTTACATTAAGTTTCTACATTTTTGCTGGTTCTTATAAGGCTAATGGAGCTTTTTGGCCTTGAGAAAAATACTATAGCACAGGGATCAGCAAACGTTTTCTTAAAGGGTCAGATTGATGGTTGATGATTCATTACAGTATTTTACTTATTATATAATTCTATTTTTTCTTCTGGTTTCACCTACTCTTGTTATTATTTTAAATCATTTGAAAGCAACGTGTGGCATACAAAATGGGTCTTGTTTGCCACTGAATCCTTAGATCCTAGAATAGTGGCTGATGGTAGATATTTGTTCAATGAATGGGTAAACAAATACCTGAATGAACAAATGCATTTCTGCATATAATTCTCTGCTATGTTTGGTTGGCATTTATTTATGACATGAATTGTGTTAAATGCTGTGTATTTATTTTATTACTTAAGAAACATGAGCATTTAAAGAAAATCAAAGTAAGGGAAATTGCCTATTTAAATAAAAAGGTGTAACTCATCTTTTCATGGAAATTCACAATGTGTACACTTCAATCACATTATAAAAGAAATGGTAGACCAAATACAGTTATTATGTTTCATATATTAGAATTATATGAGTTAATTAGCTTTTTGTGCTGTGTTAAAAAACTTTCTGCAACAATGATTAGGATGACTTCCCTAAACCATGTATTCAGATCAGGAATATGAATCAATTTGTTAAGGTGGAATGATGTTGGGAAAGCTTGGCTTCAAATCAAAGTTGGCTTCAAAATGTTATTAGCTGCATAATCTTGGACTTTTGAAAGAAGCTTATTATAATGCTCACCAAGTGCAAAGTCCACAATGTCATCCTTTTTGATATGATAGTCCCTTTGCATTCTTAACAATTGTTGAGAACTCCAAAGAGTTTTTGTTAATTGGGTTGTGTCTGAGGCTGGAAACCATCATTCTCAGTAAACTGCCACAAGAACAGAACACAAAACACCGCATGTTCTCACTCATAAGTGGGTGTTGAACAATGAGAACACATGGACACAGGGAGGGGAACATCACACAGTGGGGCCTGTTGGGGGTTGTGGGGGTTGGGGAGGGATAGCAGGGGGTAGAGGGATTGGGGAGGGATAACATTATGAGAAATACCTAATGTAGGTGATGGGGTGATAGATGCAGCAAACCACAATGGCATTTTTATACCTGTGTAACAATCCTGCACGATCTGCATGTGTACCCGAGAACTTAAAGCATAATAAATAAAAGTAAAATTAAAAAATATTTACAATGCTAAAAATTACAACAGACATTTTGAAAATACAAAAATACATAATAAAATGATACATTAGCGATTAGAGCAAGGACTTTATTGTATGTCACGTAGCCTCTGGAAAACTCTACTATACACTTACGAGAGTAAAAATGAAAAAGGCAAATAACACCTCTTGCCTACAGAGAAAACGTATGAAAAGAGGTTTTCTCTTCAGGACACTCTAAAAAAATCTTGGGATTGCCTATGTGTTCCCAGGCTGCACCTGCCCTTAAGGTTATAGAAACAGTAACAATTATTGTCATTAGGAAATTGAGAAATTGAGAAACTGGCCAATAAAAAAGTAGAAGAAAAGTTAAAAACAAGGGGAGAAAAAAGAGACAGTAAGTGTTAATTCAAATCATGTACTGTTTGAAATATAAATATCTAAATATCTATAATCTATCTGTAGGAGTGTAAATTTTTCTCCCTATATTATATGAGTTTCTTAACTCTATTTTGCCTTCTGAATGCTATTCTAATTAGGTATATTTTTCAGAAGAAACAGAGATATTTTGAGCAAAATACTCTGACAAGTAAATGTTTAAAATTTATAAATGTGATTAATGAAACCCAGTTAGCTTATTTTTTGAATAAGTTGCGAATCACTTTATATTATTATTAAATCATTTTTTGAGTGAAAAATACTTGATTATTGTTGGTTCATATATATATATATATATATATACACACACACACACACACACAAACATATGTATGTATGTACGTATATATGTATATGTGAAAGTAGAAATTATAAAACAAGAAGAAGTGACGTCCTGGCGATGAGTATAAAATACAGAGTTAAGTTTAAATTTTGTTTTGAAAATAACCAATAAAGCACAGGATTAGAACAGCTTTGTAAATTTTTAAAAATTAAATGAACTGAATAACTTACCTTTAAAGTACCATTTTCAATAAACAATTGAATAAAAAATCCATCTACAAAATTTGAGTCTTGCTTGAAATAGAGCAGGAGTCCATAGGAGCTGAAGGTCTGAAATTCTAAGGAGATGTTATTTTGTGGATTTAAAAGCACGTTCTGAAATTCTAGATAGGAATCTCCATAATAACGAACACAGCTGAAATCTGTGGAGTCAGAAAGAACATACAATTTAGGTTGAAATAAATATTCAATACTTAGGTTTCACATTATTAACATAGCATATGTTTTCTGGATGGCTCATATGTGACTCTTTCCTACCTCTTTCAAGCCCAGGCCCTTATTTCCTTTGGAATATTCAGAGCGATTGTGTCATGATTTCTTTGTATTTGATGGCTTCATGACAAACCTCATTGTAAGGCAAGGAAGTCAAGAAGACTACTCTTCAACACTGCTTTTACTTAGATTTTATGTTACAGGTTAACAGAAAAAAAAAAGCGTATTTTCTAAATATACACTTATTTGTTCTTTACATAAGATATTGATACAAAATTATGATCAACATTATAAATAATTTGATTAGGGAGATTTGTGAGGAAATGATAGCGATTACTGAGAAGCACAGAAATTCTTAATCTTTTGTGTCAACACTCTACATGAGCTTCTTAACAACTCTCTCTCACCGTCTGAATGATATTCTAATTAGCTGTAGTGTTTCAGAAAAAAATGACACTTTGAGCAAAATACTCCACAATTTTCTTAAATTTATAAATATGTGATTAATAAAACTAAGTTATCTTGTTTTTAAGTAAGTTGTTAACTACTTTACATTAAATCATTTTTTTTGCTTGATAAATATTGGATTGATTGTTGTTGGCTGATGATTCCTGAAACAAATGATTTGAATATCACCTTTCTTCCAGTTCCTTTTTTATTTTACTATCTTCATGATCTCCCCAATACAAGCTTTCATTCTCTTTTAAAACTTTCCAATTACGTATAACTACTAGACAATGTTATTTATAAAACAATGTGAGTTTTAGTTTGCTGTCTATTATAGGATAATTCATTTTTGAATCTGTACTTTAAAAGTTCAAGAAATTTTTTATCCTAAGTGTGCTATCTTTATTTGCAATTTTTAATGAAGCTTAGAATTACTCATTTTGCTACATTTTCTATCTTGTAACAATTTCTAAAGAAATAATCAGCAAAGTCTCAAATTATTTTTTTTAACTAGAAATAAGAAGGTTTAAAATACTGCCAGGAAACATTTGTGCTTTATAGACATAAAAGAGTGTGTGTGTGTGTATGTGTGTGTGTGTGTGTGTGTGTGTGTGTCTCTAATCAAAGACTGACTTCATTAGTGAAGGACAGCTTAATGAATGAAGAAATAACAATGTCCTTTCAATTTTGACATTCTAATTTTTTCAGTTGTTAAATGGTAGGGACTTCTTTTTTCCTTCTAGAGTTTCAATGGTGATGTTAAAAGAATAATACAGTAACATTTTAAACAACAAGAAAGTGTTTTTAAAGACTTCAGGCATTTATTTTAACTAATTGAGAATAAAGTCATATATCAGTTTGATTTAAAGTTCAAGTTGTGAAAGAGCATAAAATATTTTCAAAAACTAACATGACAACAAAAATCCAATATTGATAAAATTAAAACAAACTACTACATACAGGAGTTCTTCAAAAAGTTCACATAAACTGTGTTTTATTTAAAAACTATAGATGAATTTCACTCATCATGACATGTCTGAACAGAAACTATTTTGTTACTATGAAGAATAAGACACCTGTTTGAAAACAGCCCCTATCAGAGCAACATGAATTCTGCTAAAATTGAAGCAAGAACAAATATCAAATTTATAATGAAGCTTGGGTGTAAGAATGGTAAAAATCACGAAAATTTATTGGAAGCTTTATAAAAATTTATTGGAACAATGCTCAAAAGAAATTCACAGTTTACAAGTGAAACAACTTGTCTTAAGAAGGGACAAGACTATGTTGAAGATGAAGTCCTTAGTGGCTGACCATCCACATCAGTTTACAAGGGGAAATTTAATCATATTCATGCCCTAGTTGAAGAGGACCAATAAATAATAGTAAAAACAATAGCCAGTACCACAGACATTTCAACTGGTTCAGGTTACACAACTCTGAATGGAAAATTAAAGTTGAGCAAACTTTCCACTCAGGGGCTATCAAAACTGTTGTGCCCAGATCAGCTGTAGACTAGAAGAGAGATTTCAAGTGAAATTTTAAACAAATAAGATCAAGATCTTTAAGTATGTCTTTGAAGAGTTGTAACAGGAGATGAAACATAGCTCCACTAGTATGATATTGAAGACAAAGTACAATCAAGACAATGGCTATTAAGAGGTGGATGTGGTCCAGTCAGATCAAAAGTGGACCAGTTAAAATCAAACATCATTGATATGGTTTGGCTCTGTGCCCCCACTCAAATCTCATCTTGTAACTCCCACAATTCCTATGTGTTGTGGGAGGGACCCAGTGGGAGACAGCTGAATCACAGAACGGGCTTTTCCCATGCTGTTCTTATGATAGTGAATGGTTCTCACGAGATCTGATGGTTTAAAAAACAGGAGTTGCCCTGCATAAGCTCTCTTTGCCTACTGCCATCCACGTAAGTCATGACTGCTCTTCCTTGCCTTCCACCATGATTGTGAGGCCTCCCCAGCCATGTGGAACTACAAGTCCAATAAACCTCTTTCTTTTGTAAATTGCCTAGTCTTGGGTATGCCTTTATCAGCATCAGGAAAACAGATTAATACAGTAAATTGGTACCAGCAGAGGTGGCGCTGCTGAAAATATATCCAAAAATGCGTAAGTAACTTTGGAAGTGGGTAACAGGCAGAGGCTGGAGCAGTTTGGAGGGCTCAGAAGAAGATAGGAAAATGTGGGAAAGTTTGGAACTCCCTAGAGACTTTTTGAATGGCTTTGACTAAAATGCTGATAATTATATGGACAATGAATTCTGGGCTGAGGTGGTCTAAGAAGGAGATGAGGAACTTGCTGGGAAATGGAGCAAACGTGACTCTTGTTATGTTTTAAGAAACAGACTGGCAATATTTTGCTGCTGCCCTACAGAATTGTAGAACTTTATAGCTGAGGAAGATGATTTAGGGTATCTGGCAGAAGAAATTTGTAAGCAGCAAAGCACACAAGATGCGAGTTGGGTGCTGTTAAAGGCATTCAGTTTTATAAGGGAAGCAGAGCATAAAAGTTTAGAAAATTTGCAGCCTCACAATGTGATAGAAAAGAAAATTGCATTTTCTAATTAGAAATTCAAGCCCACTGCAGATATTTGCATAAGTAACTAGGTGCCAAATGTTAGTCCCCCAAGATAAAACGGAAAATATCTCCAAGGCATGACAGAGGGCTTCATGGCAGCCCCTTGAATTTCAGGCCTGGAGGCCTACGAAGAAAATATCATTTTGTGGGCTGGACTAAGGGTCTCTCTATTGTGCGTAGTCTAGGGACTTGGTGCCCTATGTTCCAGCTGCTCCAGCCATGACCAAAAGGAGCCAAGGTACAGCTCCAGCTATTGCTTCAGAGGGTGGAATCCCCAAGCCTTGGCAGCTTCCATGTGGTGTTGAGCCTGTGGGTGCAAAGAAGAATTAAGGTTTGGGAACCTCCATCTAGATTTCAGAAGATGCAGGGAAATATCTGAATGCCCAGGCAGAAGTTTGCTTTGGGGCAAGATCCTCATGGAGAACCTCTGCTAGGGCAATACAGAAGGGAAATGTGGGTGGGAGCCACGCCACATAGTCCCTACATACTGGGGCACCGCCTAGTGGAGCCGTGAGCAAAGGGCTACTGTCTCTAGACCTCACAATGGTAGATCCACTCACAGCTTGCACTGTGTGCCTGGAAAAGATGCAGACACTCAATGCCAGCCCATGAAGGCAGCCAGGAGGGAGGCTGTACCCTGTGCAGACACCGTGGTAGAGCTGCCCAAGACCATGGGGGCCCACCTCTTGGATGTGAGACATGGAATCAAAGAAGATCATTTCAGAGCTTTAAAATTTGACGGCCCTGCTAGATTTTGGACTTGTAAGAGGACTGTAGCCCCTTGGTTTTGGCCAATTTTTCCCATTTGGAATGGCTATATTTACCCAGTGCCTGTAGCCCCACTGTATCTAAGAAGTAACTAAATTGCTTTTGACTTTACAGGCTCATAGGTGAAAAGGACTTGCCTTGTCTCAGATGAATCTCTGGACTGTGGACTTTTGAGTTAATGCTCAAATGAGTTGAGACTTTGGGGGACTATTGGGAAGACCCAGTTGGTTTTGAAATGTGAAGATATGAGTTTTGGGAGGGGCCAGTGGTGGAATGATAAGGTTTGGCTCTGTGTCCTCACCCAAATCTCATCTTGTAGCTCCCATAATTCCCACATGTAGGAGGGACCTGGTAGGAGATGACTGAATCATGGGGGTGGTTCTTTCCCATGCTGTTCTTGTGATAATGAATGGGTCTCACAAGTTCTGATGGTTTTAAAAGTGAGAGTTTCTCTGCACAATCTCTCTTTTTGCCTTCTACCATCCACATAAGATGTGAGTTGCTCCTCCTTGTCTTCTGCCATGATTGTGAGGCCTCCCCAGCCAATAAACCTTTTTCTTTTGTAAGTTGCCTAGTCTCAGTTATGTCCTTAACAGCAGCATGAAAATGGACTAATACAGTCATGAAAAAAGATTTTTGGGGGATGCTCAAGACATTTTTCTTATTGACTTTCTAAAGGGCCAAAGAAGGATAACATGTCCCTCTTGTTGGAGTATTTTAAGAAAGTTAGCCAAAGCTTTAGCAAAAAAATGCTCAGGAACGTTTCACCAGAGAGTACTCCTCCACCATGACAATGCTCCTGCTTATTCTTCTCATGAAATGAGAATTTTGATAGTTTCAATAGGAAATCATTAGGCATCCACCTTACAGTTCTGATTTGCCTCCTTCTGACTTCTTTCTTTTTTCTAATCTTTAAAAAATGTGTAAAGGGCATCTATTTTTCTTCAGTTAATAATGTAAAAAAGGCTGCAGTGACATGGGTAAAGTCCCAGGACACTCATTTTCTTAGAGATGGACTAAATGTCTGGTATCATGTTTACAAAAACACATTGACTTTGATGAGGTTTATCCTGAGAAATAAAGCTTATTTTTAAAATGTTTAATTCCATTGCTCACAACA